TTGTATTTTCTGATGCATTACATCGTCTTAATTCCCCCTCGGTTCCCGCTGAAGATGTTAATCTGTAAAAACAGCTGTAATTAAAGTCACGCTGCAAAACAGATGGACGCTTTCAGTTGCTCAAACAAGAGTATTTGTTGGGACTAGTGTCACCTGTGGAGTAATACTCATCTGGTTTGTTGCAGCTTGTCTGATTAAACACTAAATTCACTGACAATTCAGTTGTTTTCTTGCTGAGTTGGCAGTCCGTAATTATGACAAATGTTGGGTTGCAATTAAAGAAGCCTCCTGCGATCACTGCTGCATCCTTAATACAAAAAACTGCTGCCTACAAGGATTACATTCTACATCCTTATGTAGACCTTTGCAGTCCAATAAGGTGATGCGGAACATTTCCTCATCAAGCTGACTGAACACTTCAACTCGGTTCAAGTTTATTTTATTTACGTAGGGTTTACAATGAGTCATCTCAGGCACTTCATATAATAGCGTGAAGATCTTACACGACTATAAAAGAGAGAGAAAGCCAACAAATGTGGCAACAGTGGGAAGAACGAACCCCTTCAGTAGAACCGGGCTTAGTGAGGGTGGTCGTCTGCCTCGACTGGATGGGCCGAGGGGGAAAAGGGCAGCAGAGATTCAAAAGTTAAGATATACTGTGTGATAAGTCTTGAACCTTGGACCTCCAGCTGAAACTGCTTCTGCTTTTTTAGAAGGTTTAAAAGCTTCAACGATAACATCAGAGTCAAAGCAGTGTTTAGAAAAATGAAAATTCAAAACTGGTCAGAGTCCAGCTGAAGGGAACGAGCTCTTGTGCAGCGGCTAAATCGACATTGTGGTCATATTGTTTTTCCAAGAATGAACTTTATTATGTAAGCTGGGTGGACTGCAGCCTGTAATACACTCAAGGAGGGGGGGCCCAACTTTGAAAGCTCCATTTGCATGCTGAAACGAGCCCATATGGGAGTGACAATATGTTTGCTGCACGAGGCAGGGACATTTTCTATTCTGAGCATCTGGGCAGGAGAGCGGCAGGCAGCAGGCCACACACCCAGAGGAATTCACCTTTCACTGCATGTTCTCAGCAGTTGCCACGGGTGACAGGGGGAAATGTCAGGGACTTTCTTCTTTCGTAACTCCAAGCAGTGAAGAAGAAGCACTGTATATAATAGATTGCCAGCTACGGTGTTTTATTTATTTTTCCTCCCCCCCCCTCAACCAAACCCTACAAGGAATTGCCACCCATGCAGCCAGTGCGAGATGTTTCTCAGAAAAATACATACATCTTCACTACTTTGCTGGAACAACATCTTCCACTGGCACTAAGATGCTACCACTTTCCCGAGCGGTTTGGATAAAAGCAGGCCCATGTAATTAACTGGCCTATCCACGCTCTGATGTGGCTTCAGGGGCCAATGAGGTCTGTAGTATGTGCAGAGGAATGTCCCAATGATAGTTTGTATGCACACGCAGCGCTTCAGACACTGAGCTATCATGCACCTGCATTCATTATCGGCCCCTTTTACTGCATTGTTAAATATCGAGCCTGTCATTATTTCAGGTGGGTGGTCCGACCAGAGGAGTCACTGTCACCGGCACCTCTAGCACATTTTTATCTTGACTTATCTGCTGTCTCGGTGAGGATTAGACGACAGTTTCGACCCGTCTAAGCCCGAACATGGAAGAAAACAGCGAGGACGGCTCTTTCCAGCACCTTTAAATTACATCTTGTTGATTTTGTGCAAAAACAGAACGTGCTGGACTTTTTCTTGGCCGTCCCAGAACTGACGGGAAACCGCACATTGTTGTTTTTGCACTTCAGCTTTTTTTGCACAAATTGAACAAACCAGATGCAACATGTCAATTATTGTGCTTTATGTTACCAGGCTCAGCTGTTTCCCACGTCCGTGCACGGGAGGTCACACCGGCGAATGAAGCACTTCCCAAATAGCATTAGTCATGAACCAGCGTTGAACTGTATGCGCACATTTCCTTTGCACATTTCCCAAAGGGCTCATGTGCACACTCACCCTTGTACTACTGTTTACCACATGAAGTCTGACTCACCGCCTCTCAAAATCCTTTCATCCTCCGCAGCAGAGGAGAGGAACAAGGAGTTCATGGCACAAGATGAGTGGATTGAGCTGAATTAATTTTAATTTCAGATCACAGCACTTCACTTTTGACAGATGACGAGTCATTAGCCTGACAGAGATCAATCTTGAACGCAGCCCGTCCCTTAACCTCAACCTTCCCGGGGATTCGACAGCCCACGTTTACAGCCGGCTCAAATTTGAAATCATGTCCTTATGATACACATGAGTAAAGAAAAAAAAAGAAAAAAAGGAGTGGGCATGTCTGGAAAGCTATTTGACCTCGGATGGCCAAACAAGACGGCGTACGGACAGACATGTCAGGATACAATAAAAGCAGTTAAGCATGGAAATGGACAATCCGTCTTCGCATGGCCATTAGAGCTAAGAATACCCTAATAAGTTTTATTTTGTGTTTTTCAAAGGAAAGTACGTTTAATGATCTGTGAAACAAGCTTCTGGAGGAGAAACCCAGGGGACATGTTGGCAGTTGAGAGACAGAAATTTTGAGATGGTCTTTGATGTTTTTTTTTTTTCCCAACTAGATTTTACTTCACGATTCTCAGCACTGACCACTTCTTACTCTCTCTCCGCTGCCAGCTTTCATCTCTTTTACACAGCATGAGGAACTACAATTAGATTCCTTATAAAACGGAGCAAAATACATTTCATTTCATGAAATCATATGCCATCAACTTTATAAAAGGACGTTAAGTAGTACAGCATATCATAACACAGTTTTCTCAGACGGAACACAAAATGCGTTAAAATCTACTGAACGACGAGAAGCTTCTGGAGAGAGAACTACCGATGATCCAAAGTGTTAAAATCAAAGGTGTGATGCTAAATGAGCGAGATTTTTTTCTTCTTTAATCCTCTACAGAGAGCTTGGCCACTACATGATCTGTATGATAAAAAAAACAAACATACAGCAACTGAAAAGATATTGATTGAAATCAACACAAGGCACCAACAAGGCCACGATACAAAACATCTTAAAAAAGCCAAACAACTGCTGTGACGTAAAGACACAAAGTTAGCTGGACGTTTCATTCTTGGCGTAAGAGTCGGAGATCTCAGTCGTTGATCCGATCACGTGAACTCCAGATCTGAGGACGGGAAAGCGGTTCCCGGGCGGATGACGAATGTTTACGCAGATGAAGACAGTTCGTGTTCGTGTGTTAGTCGAAGCTGCTTGTTTCATTCTGAATAATTGAAAACCGCTCTGTCGAGTTTTTTTTTTTGTTGCTTGTGTTTTCATCCCGTCATTGTTTTTCCCTTCAGCTTTCAGTCCATGCAGCATATTTCAGGCCATGCTGGATTGTCACACAAAAAGGGGGGAGTTTCTTCAAGGCACAGCAAAAGACATAAATAACAGACTACAGTCAGTTTACATTCACCTCTATGAGAAAAACTTTCACCCACTATGAGGAAAAACAAACAAAAAACAAAACCCTGTCATACAAAACTGGAATCAGTGAGTTTAGCTCGTGTGAAATGTAAAGCATAAGGATATAAATGCATATTTCATTTATACAACATAGTATACATGCAGCAGAGTGTCAGACAGACGACGGGATGCTTTAATTTTTGTGTATGTTTAACCAAAAAAATAATAATATTACCACAGAAATATTAGACCAACATCAAACAAACAAATGATTTTTTTTTTCCTTCACATTTTTCAAAAATATGCAGATATAATGGCTTTAATTTGAACACAGGCTGTAGTTAGTGTCAATATTACACATAATTAGCAAAATGAAGAAACCTGCAGCGAGAGAAAGTCCATGGCATGTTTTTAAAATGTTGTAAATCCAGGATGTGCTTCTATTTTTTCCTGTAGCTTGTAGATGAATAGTTCCTCATTTTCCTCAACGTATATATTTTTGCCTGGAGTGAGATGATACCACTGCGATGTTTGTCATGTAAAGCTCAGTCATTCCCCCTGTCTTTGTACTAAATATATATTTTAATATCTATTGTACAGACGTGTGAGCGCTGTCAATGTTCTAACCAAACTCTGGGCAACAAACTGAATTTCCAAAGAGGGATAAATAAAAATCCAGTTGGATCATGTACACAGTCAAAACAGCATAATTATCTAATATCATGATTAAGATGAGACAGCTCTTTGACCGATCTCTAGTCCCCCCCCAAACCCCCAAAGCACAATATCAACGACACCAAAAAATAACGTAGCAAAAATAGCAAACCTTGAATCGGTAATAGTTACAACAAGCTCCAGGTTCGGTCGAGCTGCTCGTGCCTCCGTGGAGAGAGCGCACATACGTTACAGTGCATCTCTGAGTTACATTCGGCCCTCCGTCTGTCTGCTCTCTCACTGCAGATGGCTTCACAACTAGCTGCCCTCACCCTCAGCCTCGCCGAGCTCCGCCGCAGACGAACCAGATATCACCCGTGCCCAGACCGCTCCGCCAGTCTGCCGGGGCGAGCCTGCTCACACCACCCACTCCGATGGGAACTTTCACCTCCACTCGCGTCCAAGAGTCTCTCTGATAGCGAACCAAAGGCGATTCCACCCCTCTCGTCGCTTGTAACCTGTTTAACTTGCAAATGAAGCCACAGAAGAAGGTTTTCTATCGAGGAGCATCCGATAGTTAAACCTAAATAATCTGTACATGTAGCTTGATGTTATCTTCTGCTGAGATTGATGTTTGTGTCCTTAAAGCAGGCGTTTTTGGCAAACTGCTGTCTGTTTAATTGTGTTTACATGGATTCTGCTCCTTTCCTCTTCCGGTCCTCCATCCTTCCTAACAAGCACGATCTAGTCTCATGGTCCGAGGCAGCTAAGTTAGAGTCTGAGGTCAGTGGTGAAAACGCAGCATTGTGGCATTTAGTAATCTGTGTCCCCCAGCTGAAGGATACGTGGATATCAGTTTGGCGTTACTGGTAGCCCACAGGGCTGTCCATGAGCGGGCTGGAGCAGTAGGGGTCTTGGGGGTCTTGCAGCTCGGTCTCCCGGGTCTGGGCGTGGTCTTCCTCGCCCTCCTCTTCCTCCGCCGGGCCGTGGCTTGAACTCTGGGAGCTGGCCATGGCGCCATAGCTGTGGTGGGCCGGGGAGGGCATCGGAGTCAAAGCCAGCTCTGGCTCCAGCAGCACGGACGCCACAAACAGCTGAGGGAGGCAGATCAGCATGTAGTTTATGATTGTGCCACGCAGTAAATCAGCAAATTCACGGGGAGCGTGTGAGATGAAAGTATGACTTTAGATTTGGGTTGGTTTGCCCAGCCTACAATTAAGATGTAAATATGCGTAAATATGTATAAGAATCGTGATTATTGTGTAGCACACAGTCAGCATGACATAATGTGCACGCGCTATGTTTAGAAAAGAACAAATAACAGCTCTGAATGCTCACATTATGGATCCAGATTCAGAACATATTACGGAGACAAGCGTAATTTATACGCTTTGCAGGATCACACAGGTTGTTGTTTGTTCGGTCGGATGGTTTATAACAAATATTTTAAAAGACATATGTTATGTAACTGCTAATTTGAGCTTTGAGATAAACGGAGATGAGTAAAAAATTACAATGGTGGCCTTTGAAGCTCACCCAGGAATTGAGCAAGCTACTAAATTTAAATTATGGCACCTCGATTTGCATATTGGTTTTCTTCTAAGGCTTGATTCTGTGACATCCCAGCCTGGGAAAGTCACTCAGCAGCAGCTTCTGATGTAACTTTTACACAAATAAAACTGAGCCTGCTGTCTCCAACACCAAAAAAAATGGTTGTAAAAGTTGCATATGCTCAAATCTTTAGCACTAATATAAACAAATGTATATTTCTTGGAAAGAAAATGTCAAAAGTGCTGCAACATGTTTGAGGCAAAGAGAAGAAGTGTGGTACTGTACACTGGAGGCGGTGGTGGATGTCACAGTGCTCCTGTCTGCATCAGTGAACGTCCCCTCTGTTGGCTGATCAGACATCTGAAAACAGAAAGAGTGAAGGATTACTTATGCTGAAGTGCACACGCTTCCTTCGGCATCGGCGCGTCTACAGGTGAGTTTCAGGCGAGCTGACCTGGTAGCTTGTTGACTTGTCTGGTTGCTTCCTAAGGCACAAGCGGAAGAGGTAACAGGCGATGCAAGCGATCAGAGACGCTGAGGTGAAGAGGGTGATGGGATGAACCGGACCTGCGAGACGGCGAGGAGGAGAACGTTACATACGGACTAACGGCGGCCTCGCAGTTACGAAACCCGTGTGACGACGTACCCAATCTGAGCACAGAGAAGAAGAGCAGCCAGAACATGCAGAGGATTGGAGCCACGATGACCTGGCTGATGGCCGCTCTGTGGATCCGCTGGTTGAGTTTGGTGGGAACGTATGCATAGTAGATGTTGTACCGGTCGACCATGTGCTTCAGGACCACATAGAGGAGACCTACATGTAATAAGACAAACACACATTGGCTGATCTGTGGACAAGGTTTGATCAGTTCACAGGGGCAGTAGAGTAAATCAACAACTGTGGTACATTTACAGCTTTGACAAACAGATGATCATGAACCCTGTTGAGTCCTCAGTGGTGTCTCTGTGTTTTTTTGCTTGTAGATTCTGAATTAATGAAATGATGAGAAAAATGAGTGAAGATCTCAGGTGTTCATCTTCAACAGTTTCTGAGATGTCGTCGCTCAAACAGCCTCAAATTTACATGTGAAAGTTGTTTTTTTTATTCCAGAAAGTATTTAATATGTGAGGCTAAAATGTCACAGACAGCGTTTTAAATATCCAGAGTTTAGGATGTAAAGGTTTAAAGCGAATCGTCGATGGCCGAGGAGATGATTCGAGGTGGAATTAACCAACCAAAAAAGACTGAAGTGAAGTCTCTCATCTGAATAACCGTCTGTTTTTAACCATTTTACTTCTCTTTTGCTGAATTAAATCAGTTTTCTCTTGATTTTCACTGTGAAAACTGATCAAACGTACAGACTTGCATGTTTTATAAACCAGAGTTTGCCAAAGTTGCTTAAGTCCAGCAATTAAAAAAAACAAAAAATAAAACATGGCTTGCAATAGAGAGAACTCAAAAGTGTATATTGTGGCACAATTTTAACGCAATAAATCCAAAAATAGAGAAAATAAAAGTGGGATTTCTTCTCCAAGTGTCCACAGGTGTTACAGAAATATGCTGGTATTTTATTAATTGCATTTTTTTAATTGTTTCCATGCTTTTCTGTAAAAGCAAAGCCTGCAGTTCAGTCGAAAAGCCCCACAGCTAAGTCAATAATGGCTTTTCAGCTGTTTACAAGAGCGCAGAACTATTATTATTTTATGTTTTTTACAGAATCTGGTTGGTGTAAATGCTTCATTCTTGATGCATTTTGAAATAAGACATGCAGACGAGAGCAATTTTGATGAGATTTGCTTTTTTTTCCCAGACAGAGCCGTATATCACAGATGATTAGCTCAAGGCCTGTCTGAAAGCTGAAAATCAGATGTTGTTACAGTTTCTGGTTTTGATGAATGGTGTAATTTTGGCGATGTTTTAAAGACAACATGCCTCCGAAACCAGCCAGCAGGTTATGGGTTCAGAGGGTTCACTAGTAATTAAAAACCGACAGAGACACGAGAGCACAGACAGAAAACTTTGGCACGCACCGTATCCATATTACATACTTTGTCCTGTCTACCGTCCCAGTCTCCGGAAACCTCCGCGCATAAAAGTTGGAAGCCTCAAACGCTTGGCTTATATATCTGATGTTTATTGTACAGTGACATCGTTATGATATGGACTGACATTATAAAAATGGAAACGTGTCTTTAAAAACTATTCAATCCGGTTTTATTTACACAGCGCCATACGTCATCTCGAGGCACTTCAAATAGTCGGGTCGAGACCTCCCAATCTTATATTATATTTAGAAACCCCCAAAATTTAACGATTCCCTTTTTAATCAGTTCAGCAACAGTTCAGCAACCTCTGGCAGAACCAGGCTCAGGGAGGGCAGCCGTCTGCCGTACTGGTTAGGGTGAGAGAGGGGAACAGAAATAGACATTTGTCAGCTTTATATTTTGGTCCTTGTGCTTCCTCTCAGTGGGTGTTTAACTACAGATATGCCTCAGGCCGGTCACAGAGGAATGTTTGCGAGCCCAAAACGCCGATCTGCAGAAAACAACACAGGTGAAACGCACAGAGCGAGCAGGGTTTGGTGTATGAAAGGGGCCATGTTCGGACTGACAAATAGACTGCAGAAGTAAACAGAAGCTTGGTGAGCTCTGGGCAGAGACAGGAGCAGAGTGGGCGTCTGGCTCGCAACTCACTGTGTCTGGGTGTCTGGGACTACAGCAGCAAATTCACACAGTCTGCATCGGACTGGCAGGCAGGAGAGGAGAGTGAGGTTACAGTACGAGCAGAGCGCACACACACACACACCGCCGAGAGGGAACGTGATGGGACGGCGGAGAAGAGGTGGGTGATGATACAAGAGGGTAATTGTACGTCGCTCACCGAAGGGTGTAATGATGGGACATGTGATGCTGTAGGTCATACTGACAGCGAAGATGCACATGGTCCATGCGTACTCCAGGCCAAACTGGAACTCGTAAGCTTGGCTCTGCAAACAAAAAAAAATGCAATGAGCGTTTTTAAAGTTCAGAATCAAACCACGTGTCGAGCTCCGAGGCTCCGCTCACCCGTTTGACGTGAATCCGCTCGGCCTGGGACTTGGCGAAGCAGAGGCGGAGGGCGTACACGGTGAGCGCCGGGATGCGGAGCAGCTCCATGGACGTGCCGATCAGACTGGATGTGATCACGTAGTTGACAAAGAACGCGCCGTTGTCGGGGAGAAACACGCACCTGCAGCGAAGAAAAAGACGAGACATGGGTTGTGCCTGAAACTGAGATGAGTTTCCTTTTGGTACATTATGCTGCAACTTACTGAAATTTGACATCCTTCTCATCCAGGAAGTGGACATCAAAGAGCCAGGTGAAGAAGAGGTCAAGACTAGAATAAAATATAAAAAGGATAAAAGGAGTAGCCAAGCAATAAAAATGGGGTAAAAGCAAAAATGTGTCTAAAAACTGACATCATGTGTGCTGTAAGTTTACCTGGACAGACCCAGGGAGGGCAGGATGATGACCATGAAGACCAGCAGTAAAAAACACTTGTGCATCGTCACTTGGTTCTCTCCAGATCTGAGAACATGAATGCATATTTGGTGACAAGCAACATAATAAATCCCCCCCAAGTGGAACGCTGTAATGCAAAATCAGCTGACTCCACATTTACACGACTGTTGGGTTCATTAGCACGAGCTACACTTTTCCCTCCAGTAAACAGTCGATTTGCTTTCGGTCCATTCGCACATCACGCCTGCACAACACGTTTGTGGGGGTGGTTATGTAAAGAAAGGGTGCTTATAGGTGCTGCGTGAGGTTGTCTCCTTATGCACAGTTGTTGCCGCTCCTCCTCCCCGCTAGTCACCAAGCGCCATGCTTCCTCTGCGCATGGTGACTACTGTGCATATCATTATCCTCACATGGAGATCTCTATGACAACCTGCCCAGAATAACAGTGCAGGGAGAGTGACAGAGAGAAGGAGGGAGCGAGTAAAAAGAGCAAGAGGGTGAAAGAGGAAAGAAAATAATAATTGAGATGTAAAAAAAAAACTACTGAGAGTTGAGAGGAAGACCAGCAGCTTCACATCAAGGGTCCATTTGAAGAAGCCAAGGACCGGCATTTCCATTTCAGAGGACGGAGGAGAGTGGTAGATGATGGCTGGTGAGTACCTGGTCCAGTGGGACTCGAAGAAGGCGGAGTAGTAGACGATGAAGGGCAGGAGCACCGAGAACGCCCACAGCAGGAGGGTCGGGAAGAACTGGGTAATGACCGGGCTCTGTGTTGGACAGAAAAACGGTTAATTAACGAGAGCAGGAGAGGGCGAAAACGAAGCGCCGAAGTCGTAAAAGTTGTTCTGAAACTCTGACCCTCAGACTCTCCACGGGCCTTGTGACGTTGAACTTGTCCATGGTGTTGACGATGATGGCGGGAGTGGTGAGGAAGAAGAGCAGCAGGAAGAGGAGGATGTTGAGGAGGACGCAGCGGAGCCACCAGCGAGATCCGCACACTGACAGGTTTTCCCTGGTGATGGGGGAAAAAAAATAATGAGGCTCAGTTCACAGCGGTCCAGCGAGACGGACGGGGCGGTTAACACACTCCTCTCCCCTGAAATTGCATGTACTTAATGTATTGACATATGCCTGAAATAGCCAGCCTCGGTGGAAGGGAAGGGGGCGAGCGTGTTTCCACTGCGCTGGACTGGAGAGCAGGTTGGGAGCAGCACACTTCAGCGCTCCGTTTTAATGAAGGAACAAAAGTCCCCGTTCAACCTCGCAGCCTCCTACTGCTCCAGTGGTCTAGTTAGTGCACATTCATACAGAGACACGAACACACTGCAGCCAATCAGGCGTGAAGCACAAACAGTGAGCGCTACCATCGTTTTGGTTAATCTCCCATACATATGCATCACTCATTCGTTACATAATCTCGCTGGGACTGCTGCATTTGCTTTCCAAGATAAGAAACATGCACTGTAGCTAATCCACTAGTGAGCGAGCTCTAGATGGTGTTTGAGATCTGCCGCACACAAGCGACAACAACAGATGCATCTTCAGTGTCCTAAAAGAACCAGAGCAGTCACACTAATGCAGACACCGATGTGCCTGATTTGCATAATGACGGGCACTTCCCTGTACTCTTGAGGTCCATCATTACAAGCCCTGTTGCACAGACAAGCATTATGAGAGCCCGCAGAACCTTTGCTCTGAAGTCTCGTCTCGATCCAGAGGTTTCCAAAGATACCAAATATGTCAGGCTTAATTACAGGGAAATGTGTCTAAATGATGCACAAGTCATGCAAAATTAGATATTACACTCAAAATCTGTGTCTGTGTGGGTTTCCTTTGGGTGCTCCGGTTTCCTCCCACAGTCAGAGGACATGCAGGTTAGCTGGATGCAGCCGTTGCACGGTAGGTACAGCATACGAGGGGGAATGGGTGACTGTCCAGGGTGCATACATGAGAGGAGGATGTATTATTTGTTAACCCTCCTATTATCTTCAAATTTACTTTTATCCTTGGGTTCAATTTGACTCCAGCAATTTAAACCTCCAGAAAATGTCATAATTAAAATTGCTACCCAAGTTTATGTGTAAATATCCCTTTAAATAAAACTGAAATAATTAAGTTAATGACTTATTTAGAGATGTTAAACCCTGAGTAGATAACAGGAGGGTTAATGTGGACAATTGTTGAGACTTTTAGGATAATCGAGGGGAAATTCAGGAGGAATATTGGGACCCTTGAGCTTTAAGGAGCACCACTACAAAAGCTGTGTGAGTTCCAGTTACCAGCACTCACCAGATGATGTCACTGGGAGCAGGTGCGTAGCTCACACCCCACTTGTGCGACTGCACCACAGTAGTGATGCTGGACTGCTGGGGTCTGCGGCGGCAGTGCACGCGGCCATAGTCCTTCACGATGCTGGAAGAAAAACAAAACGAGACGTGCTGCAGGAATTCACGCATCAGCAACGCCGCCCTTATGTCACACACTGAATGTGACATCAGGCCCTACACGATGAGGAAACCTCGATGTCACGCTGCCGTTTACTCACACCGCGGTCATCCTCTCGTCGCGAAAAGTCACGAAGGCGATGCCCAGCCTCTTCATGGTGATGCGGTTCTTCTCGGCGTTGAACTCGTCCGTGCGCTTCTCTTCTAACTCGCTGTAGTACTGTTCTGCATCCACCTGCAGAGAAAAAAGTTAGAGCACACATTACTCCCTCCATCTTTCACGCTCAGACACTTTCCCAGATTCACACTGGCAAGAAATCACACTGCTGCTCCAGTTACCTACTTTAGCATTGCAGTGCCATCCAGTGGCAACACGCTTTCTGTGCACTGCAACTCTACAAAGTAAATCCCAATAGTTACCTTTTCAAAGCCGCATATGTCGCAGCAGAATATCTGAGCGCATGGGTGGGTCTTGATCATGATCTTTCCCTCCTTCTGGGCCTTTGAAGCGAAATACAGCCTGCCCTTCATCGCCTTGCGCCTGAAAAACACAGCATCCTCAGACAAGAGCCCAATAATCCCAAACTGTGATGCTCCGGCCTGTGAAAGGTCCCGTACCTCTCCAGGTCCAGCCTCATGAGCTTGTGGACGTTAAAGCAGAAACGGATGTCAGTGACGGTGCAGCTGGGGTAGGCCTCACTAGATAGAGCAGATAAAATAGTTAAATCAAAGTGTAAGAGTTGCACAATTAAAATTTCAACCATTATAAGGAATCTACAGACTGTGGATGTGCAGGAATGAAAGGTCCCGAGAGGATTTAACTTGACTTAACAATAAAACAGAGAAGTAAACATGTGTACTGGAAGTGTTTGGTGATGAGTCCTGGGTCAGAGATCTCCCTCGGTATGCAGGTGATCATCAGCGTTCTGGCGACCTGTAACACAAGATACAGCCTCGTGTTCAGTCATGTTAGGGTCCAACTTTTCTGCTTTTGGTCCAAACAGAAAGATTAAATAAAAAGCTTTTATAGTCCACAGATCCTCTGACCTTTCCTCCTTACTTTCTTAAATGTTACATCTCAGCATATATTAGATGGATTCCATGAAACTTGTAAGGAAATTTCATGTTCTCCTCCAGATGAGGTGTAATTACTTAAACTTTTCATCTAATGCAACGTCAGGGTAAAAATTTCACATTAGCTGATGACTTAATACCTGTAATACTGTCAAACCCATCAGCCCGAGTCGTACTTAGCGTTAGGAACCGGTACTTAGGTTACTTGAAATTAGCAGGTAAATACGGGTCTTTGTAATTGTCACTGATAGCACGTTAGCATGCTGCCATTAGCGTGTATCTGAAGCCACTGCTCTGCTCACAGAGCTGCAGACTCTTCGTTCTGGGGCCTAAAGTCTTAGTGATAAACTGCATTATGACGTCCTGGATATCGTTCTTGACTCTACGGCAGCAATCTGTGTTTTCTGTTGGGATGTGAACGTGCAAGAAAATCCTAATTCTCACTGAATATTTTTACTATAGTATATTTGTGCATGGCACATCTTTCACATTAGTACATTTTTTAATCATAGTGCATCTTAAATTTTATCGTGCATTTTGTAGTAAAGTGTATTTTTTCTTATTTCAGATTTTTTTTGCCTGACTTTAGCAGATTTATTTGTATTGTGGTGGTGGTCACTTTACTCTGTTTGCTTCCTTCTGGGCATCAATAAAGTGTTTATTGTATTGTATTTCTATTCTATTCTATTTTTATTGTATTCTATTCTGGTTTGCATGACTAGTTTTGCAAGAAAAGGCTGAAACAATAACCTCCTAAGTGCTTCAGTAGAAAGCAACCAAGCACTTTTTAATTATTGTTTGGTTCTTGTAAATGTTTCACCTCTCATCCAAGAAGCTTCCTCAGTTCTACTACAAACGGTTGGAAGTTTCAGGTATTTATTCTGATCCCTACATCATCACACATCACCGGCTCACGACTCCCATGAATGCAGGTGTCAGTGGTTGTTGGGGAGGATCCAGACTGCACTGTGAGGACCTGATAAATCGTGATGCAGTCATTTCTTAACAAATGAGGGGCTATGGGATGGAGGGGTGAGAATAAATACCTGGGGTTCCCTATCATACAGGTTAGAGCTGAGGAGGCCTCTTCATTAAAAGGTGAAACGTCTTTACAACACCGTCTCTACTCACCCGGCAGTTTAAACACATTTCAAATCAGAACTGAGGCGGACAAAACAGAAAAGCCTGGTTGCCTTCCACTGAAGATCTTATGACTTGAATGCCTGAGAATGTACATGCATAACCACTTGTTTTCCTGAACTAGGTCCCTCAGATCTGAAAAAACAGAGGAACTGACTTGATAAGATGGATATTTTTGCAGTGGAAAAGATGACCGGTTGCTGAAATCATACGATGCGGCGGTGACAGACCTTCTCATCTTCTCTGTACTCCAGACGTATTGAGTGATGAGCCATACACAGCAAAGTGATGATGAAGTACACCAGAGCAAAGATGCTGTGCAGCCACAGAAAGCTGTCCCTTTGAGGCACATGAAGAAAAATAACAATTATAGATAGTTTTCTCTCTTTTTTTTTTTCACAGGTTCTGGGATGTTTCATGAGATGTGATGTCATTCCAGCAGTGCTAGACTTACTTTGCGCTAACATTAGCCAGTGTTGTTCTTCCAAAGTTTTCAGGACTGTCTCCTGTAGGGATAATGAAAGATGACACATGTTAATTTCTGCAGCGACTTAAAGGAAACCCCTCCTCTTCTGTTTGGAGGGTGAAGCACAAATCAAGCACTATTTAGAGAAAAGGTTTTCCGACGGCAAAGGTATCCGATCTGATGAGTTTTGCACAGAACCATCGCAGTCGTGCTCAACTGTGCTGCTTCAAATTGGCAGACCTTTGTTTGCTGTTGCCATGACAGCCAGTGAACGGGTGTTGGTTGGTTTTATGACTCTGGTGACACATCGGTCCATATGATGACAACCAGCAGTAATAAAAGCGCCCTGCTCCTCACAGACCCTGTAACGGGCTCCTGCCTTCATCCTGCTGTGGAGTGGCGTTCTCAACACTTCCAACTAAACAAGCACACAACTGCCAAAAGGCATTTCTGTTGCTATTTAGCAGCTGGTTATGTCCACCATCCCACCCCTGGCACCTACATGTTTACTGTATGTTAAGAGGAAATGAAGCACTTTCTATTCCTACAGCGTGACTCGGGGAAGCGTTTGATGACTTGCCACTGGCACGCTAGCAACTCCCAGTAGATGAAGTGCAGCCTTTATGTATGTGTTGTTGTTGTTGTTTTCTGAAGCTAAAAAAACCTCATCATTAACTTTTTTAAAAAAACTTTTCCACTGACGGTTTAAAGCTGAAGTTTCTGTGCATTAAAGCGATCCACATTTAGGGTGTGATTGTATCTGTGTGGCCTGGGCGCAAGGTGCCCCATGTGTGTCTCCTGCCTGAGGTTAAGGATATCCCTTGACTTTTCAAACAGTCGGCCGGCTAGACAATTATGCGAGGACCAAAATACCCAGGAGGTTCCCGGAAAAGTTGACCGGCAGGATCACGGCCAAAGACAGCAGGGAAACCACGGTCATGAGCAGGATGATGTGGCGCTGGAAGGACAGGTATGTGACGGCATCGATGCCACATTTGCTACGGATCTCCTCATCCCTGCGGAAACAGAAAGAACGGGAGCCGTCAGAGTCCCAGATTTCTCTCCAAAACATGACGGAGGGAGAGAGATGCTGCAAATGGCTCCTGAGGTGTCAATGATGAAGTTTCCACACATGCAGATGTAATGATAATCAGGGCAGCGTGAGCTTAGCGCAGCATTTGTATGCGGCCTGGACAAATGGACCTACAGCTTCTAGCTCATCATGAGTAAACTGGTGGCACCACTACTTATGTGTCAGAAGCTGTGGTTACCAGGCAGGAGGTTCAGGAAACCCAGTGTAATAAAATAGAACAAAAAAAAAAAAAAAGAAGAAAAGAAGGGCACGTTGGCAGCCCACACATTAAGAACTCGCAGGGTGGGTTTGCGCTTTCCCAGGGATCCCAGGGTGAGCCACTGGCACGGCAGCTAAAAACAGAAGCACCCAAACTCCACCATAATACTATAGAAACCATGGATACCATGGAAATTGCTTTTTTTACAGGTCTAAATCTGTTGTGTGCAGTCAGACTCGAGCAAAGTGCAAATATTCAAAGGGGAAACCACGGCACCAGCGAGCCCAGACTCGTTTGTTTTCGCTGCTAAATGAGATATAGCGCACGGCTTTACATCTGACGGTGACATCAGCTTCGCAGGCGGACGGCCAATGAAATGATGGAAGCTAAGATGAGAGAGGGGTGAAACAATTACGAGGGCAACTGCTTTGTGCTTTACTTACTTCATATGGTAAAGAGATGAGAGCCACGAGCAGAAGCCCTGGAAGGAGAGCAGAATCATAAAACAGCTGATGAATTGGTTATTAAAAAATTATGACACACGAACGCGAGTCTCCGCACACCACATCTGGCTGCTTGAACGCATCCACTATTTGCATAAGGTCTGCAGAGTGACACAAAGATGGAGATTTAATAGGTCTAGCCTGGAGCAGTAATCACTTTACTGCAGCCTCAGCTCTGTGTAGGCACAGGGCGATGACTACAGTCTGACTCTTTGACTCGCGCTGTTATAAACATGCAAGCGGTGACCTCAGTCTATCACACAGGTGTCATGGAGTCACAGACAGTCCAGCTGAGTCATGAGCCAAACTTTCCTCTCGCCACAGTTGACACAGTGCCATCTTTAGAAAACTAGGCCATACTGCTCAAGTTCAGCGTGCAGCATTTTTAGACATCAATGCATCACCGGGGGAATCAAATGTGACACTGCAGTGTAATTACAGTAAATAAATCAAAACATGATCAGGAAGACAAGCAGACTGTCTAGCATCATTGTTATTGGTAATGATAGCGTTTCCTAAAAGCGAGGCCCTCTCCTTCATATTTTGCAGCGTGCAGATGACTGGAATCTGCCAGTCTGCTCCTTCAAACACTGTCCTCCTTTACCATAATTATACTATTATAGTGATTGAAGGTACCCTGTGGAATTTCTTAACCACTGGTGGCACTGTAGAGCAGAGTTTGGATGAGCAGGTCCACGCATTGTTTGGATATGTTATACCCATGGACTGTATATAAAGATGGATGAAGCCTCCATGATGTCACCCACAGTTTTTTAGAACAGCGGTTTTGGTGCAATCACCGTCCCGGCTCCTTCCAACTAACCCAAATACAAGTAAAGAAGTGGAGCATGAGTGGAGCTGTCGTGTCATTTAAAGCGACTTTAAATCCGAATACAATTTATATGGGTGAGTTATATAAAAATTCAACCCTCAAAAAGTTCTCACAAATGGATTAATTAGCTACGGAGACCAAACAGGTTTTATTCCTACCAGGCTGTGAACATGTTTATCTCTGCTGTAAAGTTGGACATTTTAACATGGAGGTCTATGGAGATCGAGTCACAGCCTCATGTGGCCATTCGAGGAACTGCACGCTTTTTGTCATTTCCGCATTTTCAGTTCAAAGCTCCAGATGTTTCTGCTTAGTTCTACAACCGTGTGTGCGAGCATGAGGCTGAAATAAGTCGCTTGGCTGCGAGGGTGATACATGTCAAACGTCCTCTTTCATCAAGTCTTTTATAGCATCTCGGAGCCATTAAATGAACATCTCGGGGATTGTCCCATTGTAAAAGCAGAGAAAAAATATTGTGTTGTAAAGCTGGCTCTGTAGTAAAACGTCCTTCCCGGTTGCAGTTGCTGCGCACATGACCGTTCTGTGTGCGAAGCTGCCCCGGCCAACAACAATGGGCAAGACAGGGGAATACTTTCCATTGCGTGGTAAGAAGTTTGGTTAATCCTATTCTGCTGTGGAACCGACAGAGTCTCCATGGAAAAAAAAAAAAGAAAGAAAAAGAAAAAAGACAGTGCCACTGTTTTTTACTGCACCGGTTTACTTTCTGGTATTTGACAGTTATAACAGCTCATTCCTCCACCAAGGTGACGGCTGAAGCAGCTACGTTTTTAGTGCTGTTTGACTGTCTGTCAGCAGGATGACACAAAAACTACCCCACTGAATGTCAGAAAACTTGGCAGAGAGCTGGACCAAAGGAAGAACTCCTTAGATTTTGGTGCAGATCTAGATCACTATTTTTTAAAATTGTTAAACAGGACATTGGCCTTGGTAGAGGTCTGTGCTCTCTGAGTGGGCTTGTAGTTTATATGGCCAGAGAACAAAGTTTGGCAAATGTGCCTGCACGTGTCCATCTTTTAAATCCAATATCCATCAAAACTTTTTCCTGCTAATTGCCACTGATAAGCAGAACTCATACAATACTAAGTTTTTCCACATATTGAAAAAAAACAACATACTAATTAGTGCTATTATAAGAGCAATTATTAATATCATCATTTTCGTCATTACATATGTCAGGGGTCTCCAATCCTGGTCCTCGAGGGCCACAGTCCTGCATGTTTTAGATGTTTCCTTCATCCAACACACCTGATTCAAATGATCAGGATCGTTATCAGGCTTCTGCAGAGCTTGATGATGAGCTGATCATTTGAATCAATATGTTGGAAGAGGGAAACATCTAAAACATGCAGGACTGTGGCTCTCGAGGACCAGGATTGGAGACATATGTGAATGTGAGCTCTATAGGAAAACATTCCTCTGCTGATAGTCTACGAGACACTCATTCAGCACCTTTGTTGTACCTTTAGCGCACATAAAGTGTGTTTTGTTGAGGGAACGCGCCGTGAACTCCACAAGGTACCTTCAACTGGTCTGAGGATGCTATTAAGGGCTTTGCTGCTGCTTTTAAGAGGCAATGAAAAACTCTGACACTCAAAACTCACCATGTCCTTGGTCTCGGAGTCAGAGGGGCTGGATTCTGAAGGAGACTTCTCTTTTTCACTCGGTTCTCCATAAAACAGGGACGTGAGACTGAAGTGGGAAGATAACAAGACACAGATAAGACATAAGATAATAAGACAGACATTGATCGTGACCTGACGTGACCTTATCAATACACCAGGACGTAACCGCTGCAGTCCCAGCACGGTCCCCGTCTGAAATCAATCCATCGCACACACGGACGACAGGAAATGCATACGGTGTGGTCTGATCTAATAAAGCTAGTGCCCTGATCGAGTTTGCGGATATTTCTCTGCGGGCCAAACCACTGACAGTTCAACAGCGCGTCAAATTAAGCAGCATAATTGAATTACTATGAGAGAGGACCGCTCGGCAAAACGCACAGATGCTGCTTGCCCTCGAGGTCTACGAAGCCGCCATCGGTCAGGCGGAAACAATCGAGACCGCACTCCCCTGGAGAGGAGATTCAGGTCGAGCAGAAGAAGACCTCTGAAGAGTCATGCAGGCTGTTGGGGGGGACCTGCACTCGTTTCATAACTCTAAAGATAATCAAAATACAAACTGATTGAAAAGAAACTACATTTGTTGATAAGTGGTGAATCTTTAAAGGATAAATCTGGTCATGTTCTGTGTTTCTCTGTCTGCAACTTACATGAAAAGACTAAAATAAAACATGAATTATCCTGCTGACCAGTTGCTGCAAGAAGCACCAAATGTGTGTTAATCCACCGCTGAAAATAGTCCCTATCAAACACATTATTACCTGTATTTTAGTAATATGTGCCCAGCTGGTTAAGGAAACTATTCAGCCTTTTCAGAAACTTAAATACATATTTTTGTTAACTATTTTCAACAGATCTTCTGAGTCTGAGTGACACAAATTGCATAGGGAGGTCATAAAGTAAAAAAAAAACATAATAAAGGCACTGGTGATTTGGTCCTTTTCTTGAATTTAAAGAAAATTAGAAAAACATAGAGTAATGGCAGCTTTATGGCCTTTCCCACTGATTTATTTATCACAGAAAAATGGCAAACAATAGCTGGTTCCAGGTTCTCAAATATGAGAATGTTCTGCTTTTCTGACTTATTTATTTTTGACAGTTGTAAATTAAACGTGTTATGGCTGTTTTTTGAATTTTTATAGCTTAAACTAAATAAAAACCTACCATTATGTTAATCAGTAATGGAAATATGCAGCAGTTTCAGGCCTAAACTAAAAGAAGTGATGAGATTTTTACATCTAAACCTTTGTAAACTTGATGTGTATCCACTGTGTTAACACTTTGGAGTTTGATGTGCCAGCGTTCACTCCAACAACAATGACTTCTAGTAAGCAGAAAGTTCCTGCAGTAATGTGAAGTACCATTCACACTCAGCAGAGGGAGCTGCAGCATCAGGACTCGCTCCACTCAGAGCTTTTACTCCATCTTAAGCGTTGACGTGGCTCACAGGCCGTTTTCTCGTGTGTTTGTGTGAGTCGGGGATTCACCTGTCGTTCTCCATCAGCAGAGCCAGGCGGCCGTAGTCCCACGCAGCCTTCCTCAGACAGGAGAAGATGAGCAACAGAAACTGTAACACAGAACCAGAACGTGGTGTCAGAGCCTCTGAGGGTCTGATTTACACAATTACACGGGCTGAATATCTAAATACTTACAAACCCGTCTGTAAATCCTCATAAAGAGCAAACAATAGATTGGAAACGCAGCAGCAATAATGAGCCATCTTCCTCCTTTAGGACGTCTGGTACGTGGTTGTCTTGGAAACTACCAGAGACAGGTCAGCGTGCACGCATGAACACATGAACACATGAACACATGCTGCGCGCTGATGACAAACGAGCGTGGTCAACAGCGAGTACACATCCTCCACAAACCAGATGAAAAAGTGGACAAAAAACCTCATTCAATCACACACTCCAGTGGCTTCGCGCTCATCAGCTGGTTCAACATCTGCGTGCGTAACTGGACCGTGATGGATGAATGTTGACGAATGCAAATTGAGGAGTAAAAAGTGCTGATGAATGCTGGGAGCATTAAATCATTACCTCATTGGAATCGGGAGGACATGTGGCTTAGTGGGTGGGATGACAGCTGCGTTAATAGGAGGAAAGCTCCCATAAATGTTGAATGAGTCGTTCTTTAAGGATCTAAAGTCATGCACACGCGAAACTTGACTGAGGCCTGTGGATGAATAACGAGCCTCAAACGGGCCCAAAAACTCTCCCTTTGTTTTTGTTTTTTTTCCTTCTCAGGGTTTTTCTTGGTGAGCAGCTCCTCCCTGTTGTTTTATTTCATTCCTTCTCGATGCGTGGGCACGCTCTCCTCAAGTCCCACAGATGATTTATTCTGTATGATGATGGAATTGATGCAGAGGCGTGCTCCCGTCACCTGGGGGGGGGAAGCGTGCTTTGACTCATGCTTGTCATTAAGAGGCAGCGCTTCAACCCTTCTGCGTTGGCTTGACAACCGGCCGGCGATAAAATGAGCCAATTAAAACATGGGAGGTGGCGGATAGAGAGCGATATCAGCGCAGAGATCAAGCTTGACAAGGCCTGACAGCGGAACTGAGGTAGCTGACAGCTGCAGATGGGAGCCTATTATTATCTGGGACGCAGCAGGAAAATACGCGTCCGTGTTTGTAAATAGTGCGCGCGGCGTATTGTGGGAAGTTAAAACAAACGGATTTAAACTTGACATCCTTGACGTGCACATAATGCGTCTGTGTTTGTTCTCGTTCACGATTATGACATCCACACCTCAGACGAGGAGCAGACAAATAAAAAGCTCCTCGGTGCTGAATCTGAAGTTTGCAGTTTTGCAGATTTTACTAAAGGAAAAAAAAAAAAGTTAAACGTTCACCTCGAGGGGAAAGTTTGGTTTATCCAATTACCTAAACGGCATCACTGGACTGGTGGTAATGCATCCAATAAACAGTTTTTTTTACCCACAATGAGAACATTAAAGCTCAGAAAGAGGCCAAGGTGGATGGATGGCGAGTCTGAACCCTCTCTGAGCTTTTCTTCTGGTCACTGCTCAGTAGAGACACTCTTTTGCACAATTTTCTAAAATATTAAGGTGGTATAAATCCGTTTCTGTTGACATATGAAGCGACGGATAATGTTCTCAGTCATGACTTTTGGATTATTGTAATTAATTAGAAAGATGTGGCAATGAAGGAAGACACTGGTGAAGTTTTTGACCTGATGTTATGAATTAAAAATGCTTCAAATCTTGTTTAAAGTCAGAAGAAATCAGTCAAATTAAGGGAACAGAATCAGAAGAGGAGCCTCGTTAAGGTGGAACAGTGTGAAAGAAGTTAAACGAACATTTACCAAAGTTTTCTTTTCATGCCACGTTGTACTTCCACTCCTCTGCACCTCACTGGGAAATATTGTACTTTTAACTTTACTACATTCATCTGGCAGCTTTATAAATTAGGACTTTTATGCACAAAACATCTGCAGAACCACCAACTAAAATCTAAGTTAGTGTTTCAAGATTAAGTTTATATGAAGGTTAAGCTACACATTAAAATCCAGACTGGATTTACTGCTTTATTGTCGATAATGAGGGTTAGAAATAAACAGACACAGGTCAAATATTTCTAATCACTGACGTGCGTTTGTGTTGACATGTTTCAGTTCATTTCACACGTCCATGCGTGACGTCCGGAGCTCCCCACGCTGCTGCTCTGTCTCATTATCATCAACAGCAGCAGCAGAGTGAAGTGTTGAAGACTCGAGGTCCGTCAGATACTACATGATTTACAGAAATAGCTGCCTGACTGTGCATCACCTCTTGTTGTCTGTTTGTATCAGGGCTCTTCACAGCGTCTTAAAATGGTGTTGACAGCTTTGGATATATTGAGAAACCTTGTTGTCAAGGCTCACTAAGCTGCAGCGGAGAGAAAAGACGAGATGATTTGGAGCGTGTGAGATGGACAACAAGTGTCCTGTTAAGGAGAAGAAGCAGACCTCTAACTGGTCCTGAACTGGTTATATCAAAGAACTGAGAACTATTTGGATAATTTGGTGGTGTTGATTTTAAATGAGGCATTTATAATAAATTGCAAAACCAAAAATGACAAACCAGATGGTGGTAATGTCTTGTTTTCTTATTCTTTTGTGATAGAAAACTAGTTATCTTTTGGCACCTTTTTGGGTCCACCACCACCACTGGAACAAAACAGCTAATCAAGAAATATTTACAATTTCATTCAGCAGACGCTTTTATCCAAAGCAACGTACATTTGAGAGTAGATCACATTCATACACCAATGGTGACAGAGCTGCCATGCAAGCTGCTGCCTGCCATTGGGCACAACTTCGGGTTCAGTGTCTTGCCCAAGGACAGCTGTGGAGGGGCGAGGGATCAAACTGCCAACCTTGCAATTAGAGGACAACCCGCTTCACCACCTGAGCCACATCTGCCTATTTAATAGTTTAATTATTATTATAGTAATGATTGGAAAATGTCAAAATGACATTTTGACGACCAGACTTATATCATGTCATCAGCATCATCATGTTAACATCTGCACAACAATGCTTTGCACTGATTGCACTTTACTGATAATTTATTTATTTATTGTTCATTCTTTGTATATATTGTACATATTGGTATGATTATTATGTTTATGTTTAGTCCTGCTGTGTTCTTCTTTTTTAAAATTTGCTGCTGTAACAATGTAAATTCCCCCGGCGTGGGGAGAAATAAAAGATTATTATCTTATTATTCTGACACTTCATAACAAAAGTCCGTCCACGCTCACTTTCCTGTCGTGAGTTGTGTTTTCTGTCTGTATCGTGTGTGTGAGTCGTACCATCCAGAGCACCACGTTGATGGCGAGCACCGTGGGCACTCCACCGAACGGCAGACCCTGGAGGACGCTGCTGCGGGAGTGCGAGCGGTAGCATCTCTCAGCCGTGCTGTTCTCCTCCCCAAACGACTCCAGGAAGCCCAGAACGTCCAGCTCCACGGGCCGGGCCTCCACGGGGGGCGCTCTCGTCACAAACGGCTCAGACTGCGCCATCAGCGCTGGATCATACCTGAAGGAGGAGGAGACACAACACAACACAACACAACTTATATCTCTTCGGTCTTTGAGACACGAGTGTTAAAGCTGTCAGGCAGCACACGTGGTGAAGTGCAGTTATATCTGCTTTACTCATAATACAAACGGTTTCTATAATAACAGTATTGTTGATATTAAAACAAAACTTTTGCTTTAAGTTTTGTTCATAAGCACGGGCGGAAGAAGTACTTAGATTTGTACTTAACCTCTGAAGAACTGGCATCCACATGCATAGTTAATTTTTAAAAAAATATTATTTTATTATTGTTATTGTTGCATTATTGTTATTTTTAAGTATTTTATTATTTTATTTTTTTTAATATTTTTAAAATATTTTTTATATATATATTTAAAACATTTTCTTTCTTTATTTTTTTTATTTTATTTAAAAAAAATATCAAACAAGAACTTGGGTCTTAATAGGTTAAGTAAAAGTACTGATACCACAGTGTAGATATACTCTGTTACAAGCAAAAGTAATACTTTAAAATCTGTGCTTAACATCAAAACAAACTTAACTCATATAAACGCTCTGATTCTGACCTATTTCAGAATGATGTAAACTGCTGGATTATAACAACTGATGCATTCATGTGTTCATCGCTGGTAAAGATCATGTAATTATTCTACTGGGTAGCTTCTAATTTTGCTCTTAAGGAAGTTTATCCTAATTTAGAATATTACATCATTTTATATTAATTTAGTTTCAGATCATACAGGTTATTGTATTATTAAACTAAATCAGCAAAGAAAGTAAAGTTGTTGAAAAAAAAAAAGTAGTTTGTAGCAAGTGTCAAATAAAAAAGTAAAATATTTGCCTCTGAACTGTGAGTTAAAGTATAAAATGGCAGAAAAATGAAGAAAATATTCAAGTAAAGTAGAAGTAAATGGTACATTACTTTCCACCTGTCAGCTAAAAAAGTGTACACAAGTGACACTTTTGAGATAATCTGTTATAAAGGTGCATTTAATGACTTAAAAATCAAGCTTTCCAGTTTGTAAGTGAATGTGTTTGAACTTCTGCACCCATCCTTTAAATGCCCTCTCAGACGGCAGAGATCTGTGTTTACATGACGTGAGGATCACAAGGTTTGCGCATTTCAATTGAGCCGCTGACAAAGGGTTCGCGATAAACGGTGAAATTGGGACTTCACTGGCTGCTGTGACTCATTTTTGCCAGACAAGTGCCACTCACTGTGAGTGCAGTTATGATAGCGTTTGGAAAGATCAGTCTAGTGAGCATCACGGTGCATTAGCAGTAATTGATCTGTTGCTTTATCTGACAAATGGAAGCTGAGATGTTACATGAATGTGACAAACTGAATAACAGAAGCACTGCAGGCTCTTTAATGAGCCCATTTAACTGGATGCACAGGAACATATTTCAACTGAGTCTAAGAAAAGATTCCCTTTAACAGTTCAAGAGTAAACAGCAAGTTTGAACAGACTGCTGTCACTGCCGCTCGCTGTGTGTTTCCCTCTGTGTGTGGAGCATGCATAGGACACTACCACTCGCACTGCCGTGACCACAGAATGCATGGAGGCCTGAACCATCTGTCCTCCAGCAGCACACACTAGTCTCACTTTCAATCAATACAGTCCCGACTCCTCGCTGCTCAGCCTGTGCACACTCCTCGCTGAATAAACATTCAGAGGAAATGGAGCAGCAACAGAGTGCTGACAAAGCTCTGCGTCAATATTGCAAATTCACACGACTAAAAGACATCAATTATCAGATTGTACGAGAAAAATGAGATTGCACAGTATTAGCTGTTGGTACTGTGACAGAGCGGTAAATATGCTGTCTGCTCCGCAGCAGCAAACGCCAGCCAAAGCTGCATTACGATGCTCCGTCGTCCAAGAGCTGCGAGGTACCAGAGTGATTTAAAGGAGACGCTTAAAGGCCTCCAAATTGGCACACGGCGCTGAACCAAACCTCGGTGTGATTTATCACTGCGCCAGTGATGTCACTTCCTGAGAAGCTCCATCGCGGCTCTTCACCAAACGGCGCTCGTTGTGCAACAGAAGCCACAGCAGGATATCTGGTGTAGGAGGCGAGCTGATCAATGGCAGAGCTGCTGGGCTGCTGTACATCACACTCGGAGGGGTCTGGTGAAGAGCACAAGTATAAAAATACAACCTAGTCATCTTTGAGCGGCTCTTTCTGCGCCACTGTTGCCTCTTTGTCGGCTGTGAAACCGTACGGCTTGCTGTCGATACCCAGATACTGTCGTGTGGACGACATCTGGGCCTCCCTGTGGAGACGACTGGGGAGGAGATTCCCTGAGGATGGATCACAAAGTGAATCCATAACATGAACACACTCTGCCAGTCTGCAGAGCTGGTTTCCACAGAAGCCGATTCACCGTAGATCACTTTTTCTCTCTTTGCCAATAATGAATTTAAGCCGTCGATGTGCACCGAAGGCTTGTTTCTCTGCTGAAAATGGATTGTTAAGCGCATAAAACAAGGAGGGAACGAGCTGGCTGTCCAAAACCAAGCAGAGACTCATTACACTAACGATTGTAGTTCAAACAAGTCACTGAGTTATTTATGTTTTACAGATATTGGATGATAATTAAACAAACAGGATTTGTAACGATGCAATCAATAGAACAGCAGCTCAACCAGAAGCACAGTTTCTTTATCGTGCTTTTCTTGTAAAAACATCACAGGAGTCCTATTCTTAGTGTTTGCCAGATTTTTTTAAATCAAATGAGTCAGCATGTCAAACAGCCTGATGGTAAAAACTACAGTAAAACAACCCATTCAGCGTCTATTTTTATCCCCCTGAGATGAGTTGATGGCAGCAAACAAAACAAAGAGCAGCTGTGTGAAACGAAGCAACAGGAGCCAAATCAAACAGAAATGATGCCCCATTACGGAAGACAAACACAACCAGCCAGCTGTAATCTGGAAACACACCGAGCACTAACGCAGTTTGACGTGCACAAGCTTTTTCACAGACCTCCATCGACTCGCTGAGCTTTTCCTCCACTTACTTCACACGCTGCCGATGCACAAACTCTTGTTCTCCACCTCCAGGACCGGGCGAGATGCTGAAGGATGCAGGCGGACTGTGGCGTGGTTTCACACAACATTTGGACAAACGTCACAGCATGACTCAGCAGTTTAACGGTGAGGCTCCGTGGTTATTCTCTCTTTAGACGCTCAAACATGCTCGCACTGATCCCAAGATATCCATTTCTCCTCCAGCTTATTCAACTCTGCAAATCTGCCGGCTTTCTAATCCCTTCCCTCTGCTCCTTCCTCTCCTCCTCTGAATCAGGCTTCCAAAGCCAACGCAGCAGATTACAAACTGATGTTTGGCTTGTGAGGCAGCGTTGTGCCTCCCGCTGGCAGAATGAGTGAAATCTCTCCTCTGTGCTCAGCGAGGCTATTACCATCACAGATGCTGAAGTCAGTGCCGGAGCAGCGAGCTGGTGATGGAATACACCTGAGCTGGAGTCAGAGAAGCAGAAAAAAAGGCGAGTTGTAAAGAGGAAAAAGCAAACTCAGGCCGGCTAATCTGCTCGACGGAACAGAAAAAAGAAGCTGATGTGTGAGAGTGAGAGAGAGAGAGAGAGGAGAGACATCATCCCTGAGGTGATACAAACAAAACAATTAAGACTGTTAGTCAGCAGATCAATAACTTGCAATAAAGCAGGATTCAAACCAGATATCTATCATTCCTCTCCAATAACACTCTGATTAAATCAGCCTCTATTGATGCTGCAGCCTGGATCCTTTCAAAGCACCGTTATATTGATGAAGTCACCAGCTTTACACTTAATGGTCGGTTTTCAGAAAATGAACTTTACATGTCACTGTCTCTTTCAATTTTTAAGTTAAAAACCTGCAAAGACGTTTACTTTGACCATACGACTCATTTTAGGATTGTTTTAAATGGGCCTCCTTCAGGAAGGAAACTCTCTCTGAGGCTCCGTTCACACGCAGCAAAAACGCTGATATTTCAACCTGCCTTTGGTTTACACGTAAACGAAGATACGAGTCACCGAAAACGATCACATCTGAAAACTCCAACCACAGTGGAGATTTGGAAAAACTCTGTCTTTACGTTTGCATGTAGACGGGAGGAGACAGAGTCTGACGTCACAGTATGCGACAAAAGCGTCACATGTGGGCGACCATGTTTACAGTTTGGCTACTGTGATGGCCCAGTGTCAGCTGCTGCCATGGAGGCCAAGAATTCCAGTTACCTGTGGGTCCCTGAAAGCATCAGGACGACCCATAAATCTCAGCCATCCCTCTCTTGCTGTCTCTCTCATGTCTTTCGGTTACCTTTTTGCTTTGTTTCTGCTCCACAACAACACCTTGCATCCCATCATGTTCACTCATCCACACCTACACTACTGATATTACTGATGGTCACACACCATACTTACTATGATTTGTTAAATGGTTTTTGCTTCTGGCTATAATAAATATCCTTATTTTGAGTTAAATCTGTGTTCCTTGCCATTTGTTATAACCCACGAGCCAGGTTGTGACACTACTGTGATAGAAATCTTGTGATAGAAGTCTTTTACTTGGTTTGTACGACCCTCATGGCATTATTGATGAAGTAACAGAAAGTGATTTGTGCCATTCGTTGTTGTGTTTATTCCAGGATTCTGATTGGCTAGTATGGCTTTATGCTTCTCGCTACACTGCCCCCTATAGGTCTGGCTCATAGCAGCTCTTAACGACGGGTTTATGTGGGTTTGTGTAAATGAAGATTTTTTAAAAACGATCTATTTTTTGAAAACGTAGATCCATTTTTTAAATACCCGACTATGTGTGAACGTGGCCTGATGTGCATTCAGCAAAACAGTTGACCACTGACATGAATGAGCGTGAGACCTGGACTTTTCTCCAGGCGATCATTTGACACGGCAGGATTCACAGCACAGCCGTCTGTTTTGAACTCATGTGGTTGGCGAGTTTGTCAGATGATA